GCCTGGAATGACACAAAGAGGGCTTCTGATCTGCAGAATTCTGCTGTTAGTTTGATGTATGTCTGCAGGGCCCATCTAACATTCAGAGTGTGCCAGACCTGTTCCCTCGAGTGTCTGGGGCATAGGCAAAAGTCAGATAAAATGACTTCCTGTGCTCTATGGAACCAGGTGTTAGTTTTGAGGATGAAGGCAGGGTCCAGGCGCAGTACAACCCTATCCAGCTGGGATACAGAGATCCCCCCAGACTCATAATGCCGCCAGTTCTGATATGCGCCATGCAGATGTTATTACAACAAGAAACATTGTCTTAAGAAGTGAAGTTATGCGAAGAGGATCGAAGGGAGCTGAAGACAGAGCCTGTAGTACTACCGACAACTGCCAGTTCGGGTATCAGTGGACCACCGGCGGCCACAAGTTGGAGGCACCCTTGAGAAAACACCGAACTCTTGGCACCTTGTTAAGAGGTTGGGCCGACGTCCCAGACTAAATGGTGGATACTACGGCCACCTGGCGTTGGAGGGTGTTGGGAGTGAGCCCCTTGTCGAGGCCTTCCTGTAGAAAGTCCAGCACACGGGGAACAGGAGCTGTGACTGGATCGATTCAGAGATAATCACACCATTTCGCGAAGGTGGCCCAAGTAGAGTCGTAAATTCTTGTTGTTGATGGTTGTCAGGATGGTATGGATGGTATGTATCACCTCTTCTGATAGGCCGTCCTTCCTCAGGAGGTCCCCCTCAAGTGCTAGATGGCCAATTGGAGCTACTGGGGGTCTGGATGGACAATGGCCCCCTGGCTGAGGGAGATCTGACACTGAGGTATTCACCACGGCCTGGCCACCGATAAGCTGACCTCCGCGCTCTCCACAAAGATTTTGCGGATGACTTGAGGCTGAAGTGGGAGTGGTGAGAAGGTGTATAACAATTCCTGAGGTCATCTGCAGCGGAGAGCATCTGTCCCCTCTGCCCCCTGCGAGTGAAATTGGGAGAAGAAGCGTTGAAGCTGTGTGTTCTNACTCTCAAAGTAATAAAACGTGGGAAAATTTTGCCACTTTAATGTTACTGTGCTGCAGCTATTCAACGCCACTGCTGGGTGCAACAATGAGGCAGCCACGGGATCCTCTTTTTCAGCATTTCTTGGCCGTTTGTCACAAATCAATGAAAGCCCCAGAAAAAACTGATATGATTTCTGATACAGTATTACCTCAGTACTCACCGTTAATTTATTCTGGGAGGTGCAATGAGCATCAAAAATGATGTGCACCAAACAAATCTTTCCCATAAAGGATAATGTAGGGAGTTACAAGGCAAACGACATCAACAAGTTCTAGCTTGTGTGTTGAGTACCAAAGAAATGATGAGTACTGGGACAAAAATTTTGCACCAAAATGCGTCGTAGCAAATTTGATAACTTTCAAAACAATTGAGATACCACTATAATTCAGATGATGAGGCAGATCCTCACCTTCCATTTGGCACTTATTCCGCATTTTTGCAGTCATGTAAAGAAAAATAACTAACATGAAGCCAGAGTTTTTAACATAGTTTGAAATCTTGCAGCTGTGAAAAATGGGTAATATGTTTTTCTCTGGTCTCCATTTTTAGCTTAACATACCGTGAAATTCCTAATTTTATAAATTAAGAGTAGATGCATCTTCTAAATTTTCTATCAAAACTACCATCTTAGATTTTTTTTCCCCCCCTCAGAAAGGAGTGCACTTTCTTCCAAGCTATAGCTGGGGACAATCAGCAAGGTGGAGAATATCTGAAGTATTTAAGGACACTACTACAGTAGTATGGAGGAAGGAGCCCGACTTGTGAGACTGGTTTACAGTTGTTAAAAGCAGCAGCTTCTCCCAATCCCATTCGTGTTTATTGTATTATTTTTGCCTCCCCTGTATTGTCATCTATAGTAATGAACATAATTCCAAATTTGTTAACACTAGATTAGTCAATTGTCGGCAAATTTAGCTTGCAAAAAGATGCACAACTCTCTGAGGACAAAAAAATAGACCAAAAGGATTTGAGATAATAAAGAACACTAGGAAAGGAGTTTAGGCGCATAGCAACCATCTCCTGGACCTTGTCATTAGCAACAAAAGCCACTGATCCTGTTAGAGAAGTTGTTGAGCATCTGGATAAAATAGGCCATTGGTGCTTAGAGAATAGATGAGTAATACCCATGCAGTCTAAGGCCTAAGCAAAAAAAGAATACTTTTGCTATTAGAAATGTTAAGTTCTGCCCCTTTTTTGTTGAAAGGCAGGCCACAGTGGCCATTCTATAACATTTGCACAATATGCCCACATAAATATAAAAATTATTGAGCTATAAACTTTCATTAAAATGAATAGTGCTTGACTTGTAGAACTTCAGTTAAGTTGTAGTATTGTCAACAAGGTTGTAAGAGTTCCCAGGTGAGGAGCAAGCTTTAATTGACAGGTTTCCATTAAAGCTTGGAGTTCAGCAATTCTGCTAAATGTACAATTGGTTTACTTAATCCATTTGATTATTTCTACTCTAGATAACAAAACTGGCAGCTGCTAAGAACCTTTAGAAAATCACACATTCATTAAGAGACTATAAATCCTACCTATCAAACTATCGATCTACCTAAAATGAATTACTTGAGTTAATAAATTGGCAAACTTTGAACAGCCAATAAACACTCATCCTCTTTGCATTGAGTGGAGTCTTAAATAGCTTAAGAGTTTTGCATTCCTTATGCTGTCCTAGAACTTATGTAATGAAATGCAGAATAAATTGAGAAGATGGAAGATGTCATTTGCAACTTGTTAATTATTGAATATTTTTATGTCAGCACCGTCTTTTCAAGCTGTTATTTATTACAGAAGATAAACCAGCACTTGGCATTTGGCATACCAAGAGGTATTCAGCAGAATAGTATGTATCATAACTAAAGCCAAGAAACACATTTAAAATTAGATTCAATTTGGGGAGATTTTAAACTTTAAAGTTTCTAAAATGCTCTGTTATGTGTTTTGATAAATTGCCCAAAGTTCAAAGCTTTATAACAGCATCTCAAATCTCAGGAAGAATCTGACTGTAAACAATGTATGTTAATTTCCGAAAAGCACAGGTTAGCCTATAGAGACATAGTTAAAAGAGTAGTAAGATCCATGGATATTGAAAATAATAAAATCAATGGAAAAGATTAAAAATCAAGGATTGAGCTAACAAGACTCCAGCGAATTTAGTGTAATATACAAAAGGAAGTTGAAGTGGGCTTACAGAAACAGAATTGGTTTCCGCATCCTTCTTTCTTTAATTATAATGTTGATTGTATATCTTCTTTAATGCTGTTGTGATGTATTCTATTCACTAAAGCTTATTTTCCACATAAGTTACTATTTCTGTTAAAAAAGAACAAAGGGATTCAGTCCTCTTTTTTATGACATGCAATATACTAAAATAAATGTTCAGATCTAATTATTGTTATATATTTATTTCAGGCATTAGAACAGTTCAGATAAACAAAACAAATATGGCTACAGTACGAACGCTATATACAAAATAAATAAAATGGAAATCTGTGCCAGGTTTATGCCTTAGGTCCAAGGAAAAGACAAAACTCGCAGAAACCGTTATCTACATACATATTTAACAAGTTATTTGACAAACCGTTATTGCTTCACTCCAGAGAAACTAGTGAAACTGTGGTAGAATAATTGCAAACCTCAGAGCAAAATAGATACTATACATGTCAGAAATTGGATTTTCTATTTGGCATATCATTCTAAAATACATTATACATCAAGTACGTTAACATGGAAGCACAAGTTTTTTTAAAAAAAAAACCTCCCTATAATCTTATAACCAGAATTATTAACATTTATACCATTTTAAATGCTTGAAACCAAGAAGCAGTGAGGTGAATCTTATGCACTATTATAATGCTCCAAAGATATCCTTTAGAGAAGGGGAGATTCATTCTAAAAGAAAGCTGCACCACCTAACTTATTACACCACAGTGAAGCAAAACTCACATTCCATTTACACAACTGCGTTAACAAAGGAGAAGCAGTGCTTGATTTTAAGAAGGCTGTCTCCTCACCCCTCAGTTATTTTTGTTAGGCGTAATTATTGATTGTACAGTTATAGAGACTAACTTGATTTTGCATTTAATAACTGCAGCAAGACTGTTGGTGGTGCAATACTGGAAGAAGGAAGAATTGCCTACTGTTCAAGAATGGACATTAAAAGTCACAAACCTAGCAGAGATGGCTAAAATATCNAAATATATATATGTCTGCCTAGTATGTAATATAGCACAGGTTCAAATCCCAGTAAGGGTATGGCTAGCTGATGAGAGCTAAATAGCTCTCATCTTGAAATAGATCTATAGTAGTCTCCCTTTATTTATTTATCAGCACAAATAAAAAATAAAAACAAAAACAAACGAACAAACACACACACACATATATATATTTAAGACTGTGAACTCACCAGACCTTTTCGTTTCAATGATTTTATTTTTAAAAAAATTAAAGACCTCCATGGCACAACCTCTCAGCACAATTAAGGGTTAGTTTCAAATAGTGACACTACAATTCCATTCAGGTAAATCCAGAGAGAGAGAGAAAAGAAGAGAAAATAAAAACGAATCTAAAGTTCAACAAAATAATGATAAAAAAAAGATCACTTCAAACAAAGATCTTTCGTTTAAAAAAAAATTCAAATTTGCAAACAGGACTATTTATACTGGCGTTTCTTTTCCTTTTTTTTTTTCCTCCCCTGCCATCTTGCACAGTGCCAGCTTTCCCCCACCCTTTTTCCCGAGGAAAAAAAAGGAGAAAATATATATATTACCGATATATCTCCACCCATATCCCCAGGAAGTGCTGAGTAATTTAAAAAAAGTGTTCTGATACGACGTATACAGATGAGGTAATTTACAACACAGATGTTGTTACAATCTGCAGGTTTTTTTCTTTTGGGCTGCAAGGCCAGGATAAGCACCGGGAAGAAAGTTGAGACCGGCGGTTTTTTTTTTCCTCGACTCCTGCCCCTTTAAAAGGCGTGGACTTCCAACTCGCAGGGAATTCTGGGAGCTGAAGTCCACGCATCTTTCAAAGGGGCCAAAAGAATCGAGAAACGGCTGCTTTACATCAACTCCTCAACCTCGATATTTCCATCTTGGGTTAGCGTGGATGGATACTGCTCCCCTCCCCCTCCTTAAATCCTCGTCACCTCGCACCCGGCACCCTTGATTCCTAGGAAGCACGCGGCTGCTTGCCAAAGTCAAAGATCAAAAGAAGAAAGCGAAGCGTCGAGTCGATCCCCCATCTCCGGAGCCCTCCGGAGGGGAGCAGTCCTAGTGCAAAATCTAGGCACACCTATGCTGCCTTTCCCAATTTCTCGCAGGCGCCACCGTGGGAAATCTCCTGCCGGCGGGCATCCGGAAGTCCTTTCTCATCCGCTAAGGAGACGAGGAAACCGAGAAGAGGGGAGGTGTCTCGTGCTATCGCTTCCGGCTCCGACACCGGGGTCCCACTCCGACAAACACGAACATGCCCCCCCCAAATTCCAAATTTCCAAAAGTTGCATATTATCGTGAAACTCGAGGCCTCGCCGAGATTGTTAGCAAGCCACGCATAGCGATGAGCCTCCTCCCTCAACGGACATGTTCACAGAGGATCTGATGGGGCTTGCAAAGATCCACGGTGGTTCGGAAAGAGATGGGGAAAGGGCTTCCATCCTGCCCTTCGACATCCCAGCACAGCGAGAGGAAAAACACAGGGGCCCCCCCAAAACCCCAGCGAAATTTTGGCTTTTGTTGAGCACGCTTCTTGTAAGGCTTCCGAGCACGGGGTCGCGGTGGCCACCGAATCCTGGGCGAGGTGCCGAAAACGGGAATGGGGAGAACCAGTTTCAGGACGGACACACACACACACACACCCCAAACACAAACACACACGCACACACACAAACCCAGCCTCCCGGTCCGAAGCCCCAATTCCAGGGATTGAGAGGCTGCAACGTCATTGTAAAACGTTTTGATACTGGCCCAAAGAGAGCCTCCGCGCGGGTGACGTTAAACCTAACCTTTGATAAATTAAAAAAAGGAAAATAAGTTTTCATATTTACAGCCGGGAATTTCTGACGTCGGGCATTTCAGCAGAAGGAAGAGCGAGACCCATTTACCTTACAAGAGGCCTCTGCGTTTCGGTGAGGGTGTGTGTAGTAGACAGACACACAATCACACAGGGAGCGGGTCCCATCCTTCCCCAGGACGCTCTCTTACAAGCTGGCCTGGGTTGTTTTTTTTTGCGTTTTGTGGTTTTTCACACATTTTATTTTCCTCGACAATTTTCTCTCCGCCAGCTGCCTCTAAGTAACACACACAAACACACACCTCTCAACCACATGGCGAAATATATATATATATATATATATATGGGAGGGTAAGGCAGGGCAAGCGAGCAGCCCTGGATCCGTTCATGTTATTTCTTTTTCTTTCCAAGATCTGTTAGAAGTTTGAGGTGGTGTTTTGTTTTTTTTTAAAGGAAAAGGAAAGGAAAAACAGGTGGAAAAATAGGATTTTTTTCCCAGGAAAAACCGGTGAAAAATTAGGATTTTCTTTCCAGGAAAAACAGGTGGTGAAAAAAATCGGGATTCTTCCAGAATTCCAGAGGACGTTACGGGGAAGAGCTTGGCGGCGAGGCCAGATGCTATTTTTTCAGGAGGTACGGATCGGCAGGCGAGTCCTGGAGGCTTTGGATGACGATGAGGAGAAGACAACCCCATCGGATTATGGACCGTTTTGTCCTTTTTTTTCCCCGCCCTGCAAACCGAGTCCGTTCCGAGCCGCTGCAGGACGATGGCTACGTGGCTTCCGAGATGCCCCACGATGGGCTCCCGTTCTTGTCGGCTAGCTTTCCAAGGCTGGAAACTCAACAGGGATGGTGCGGGCGGGCTGGTGATGGAGGCATGACATTCCCCTGCAAAGGGGGAGGAGGCGGGGGAGAAGAGGCATCGGCGAGTCGTAAGGACGAGAGAAACCGAGATGAGGAAGAACCGGCGTCCTCACTTATGCAGAGTCTCCGGGGAGGACGCGAGCGGGAACAGACGAGAAAGGGTCCGTGAAACGCCCCGCGGGTGGATGGTTTTTGTGGTGGTTTTGTTTTTTGCCAGGGGGTTCCTCTGAGTTACAAAACGTTCAAGTAAAAAAAAAAGGCAGGCCTGGGGAAGGAGGAGATTCGGCGTGAGAAGATCCATCCATATCTTATATATATAATCCGAGGGCGAGGGAGGTGGGGTGGAGAGGGAGATACATATGATGACGTGACGGGAGGAACGAATCGATCCACCAGCGCAACGGGTCCGATGTGGCTCCTCCTGTCTCTCTTTCCTTCCCCCCCTCCCCACGTTGGCTACAAGAGGCTGTGGAGGGGGGGTGTGAGTTGGAGGAGGACCCTCAGCCCTAGGGTGGCTCCAGTCCGGCGTCTGGGAGACAGTGGGAGGGGAGGGGGGGTGTCCTTTATTGCTGAGCCCCCGCGGCAGCAGGCACTGGCATTCCCAGCGGGTTGGCAGTGGCAATCACGGGGGAGCCGGCTAGAGGTCCGAGGGGGGAAGACGTCGCCACTGAAGAAATTCCTGGGAGGGGAGAGAAAAGGAGAAAATTACTGACCCCGAGAGGGTAATTTAGTTGTCCCCCCCCCCCTCCTCAATGAGAATGGCCTCTGGTGTGCTTGCTGCTCTCTGAGCTTGGTAGTTTTCTTGTAGGTTTAGGTTTATTAGATTTATATGCCGCCCTTCTCCCAAGGACTCAGGGCAGCGTACAACATTAAAAGAAACACAT